GCATTAAATTATTGTTAATCATTTACTTGTATTTAGCATGTTGGCAGGATGACCCAAAAAACAGACCTGATATTCAACATGTTCAAACAATGCTTGGAGAAATTTCAGGCTCAAATATAGTTGATATAGTTTATGAAAAGGAGCCACCAAAAAATGAAGACAGTAGTTCTTTCAGTCATCCCAGTAATAATTTAACAGGGCCTAGTATTGGTTCACTGCAAATTTGATAAAGTCTTGGATTTTTAGAGTAGTCAGGACCCTACTACTTCATTAATATCAACAATATAATGGTAAATATATATTATTGTGATATTATGTGTATTATATTCATACTTTCATTTCTTATTTGTATTTGTATTATTATTATTTATATAGCACAACCTTTAATTAGACCCTCCTGAATTGAGGCATATCAACTGTTACATAATTCTTTTTAAAAATTGCAAACCACTAATTAAGCATTTGAATAGATATTTTATACTTGATATGTACACATAAAACTAATTCTAATGCTAACAAATAAATATTGATTTTTTAAAAAAATCAGTTCAACTGGTTAAAATTGATTTTTTACTAATTGAAGTGACAAATCTTCATAAGTTCAATTTCAACTAACTCGAATTGAGTTAAAATTTTATAAACTACATTATATTATGTCTCAATTGTTTTAGAATAAACAATGGGTTACACTTATGAAGTGGTGCAAGTACACTAAATAACAAATTTTCCAAACTTTACAAGTATACTCTTTTTTTTTCACTTCAACATTCCCTGATCCACCCTGCCTGATTCATTTGAAGTAACAAATTTTATTCTTTGATTGCAAGTCATTACTAAAATACTAGTTGGTTTGCAAAATAGAAAAAGATGACTTTAAGTGGCAAAATATTTCAGAACAAGAAAAGTCTTAACTATTAAGGAATTATGAATTAAATATAAGTGAAAAAATATGTTCTAAATGCTATAATTCTTATATAACATACTAATAGAAAGCCTGAAGATGTATCATATAAAATAATAAAACCAATTGAAATGGAAGCAAATACTGATTTTAGTTTACTGAAGTTACAAAATCCAATCAACATAATTATTATTTTTAATTAAATTATTTTAGATGGTTTACAATTTTTATTCTTTGGTTTTATACAAGTATCAATATTGTGAAAAAATGGTATATATTATTAATGATCCTGATGAATTTGTAAAAATGATCGAGAATCTAAAAATTTTATGGGTCCCGCCCGATCGACCGACAGACATTATACCGACAGCCGTTATACCGACTCCGTTATGCCGACAGGACGTTTTACCGACAGGACATTATACCGACAGGACATTATACCGACAGGACATTATACCGACAGGACATTATACCAACAAGTCATTTCATAGTGTAATTAATCAATCTAGCCGTCTAATAAATGGCTTAACCACTGTTATAACTATTAAATGTTATAACAGCCACATGGGAAAGGTGATCTAATTTGATTAGATACGGGGGGTGTTTGTTTTTATACAGTGTGTTGTGTTTCAAAAAAAAGGGCTCCATCATTGGGTTGTACATACGATGGACTATGTAGATCAAAACTAAACAAGATTTTAAGTTAAACGTCGCGGCGGCACATGCACGAATTTATTTGCAAGTATTTTAATATTATAATAAAACAAAACAGGGCAAAACTACAGATTGTTTTTCTTCTCAGGAACAGTAAACGTCAATTAACTAAATATTAATTTTAATTTTAATATAAATAGCATGCTTGTTAAACCTTTTTTTTTAAATATATATTGTAAAAAAAAAAATTACAAATGCAGTAAATATTGATTTGTTCCATAACATGATAAATTTATTTTTTTTTTACTGCCTTATCAAATTTCCAACCCTTCATTATTAACCTTTTCCAATCTTTTATATTCTTCCAATACTGCTTTAGAAACATTTAATTGAGCAGAGCAAAACTGAGAATATGTAAGTTTTTTAACAAAGGAGCTTGGCTCATTGCAATGTATATTTGTCCTTCAGTAAATATGTTCTCATCAACATTCAACAATGTGGTTGGGCTTGTTTTATATATGGCCCATACGGCCAGCAATTTGATTCAATTTTTTGGCTTCCACTAATTACACTGTCAGTGGAAGAGACGGTCTTAATGAAGCACAT